ACTCTACGGATCTTTAGCTCTCAAGACTTATAAAGAACTTTCCTCACAATGTATCTCAGAAGACCCCAGCGGAAACACTAAATCAAAGCAACTTATTTCTTTGGAACTAATGGCCCCAAGAAGCTATTCTCAGGGGGAAGAATCTGTCAAGTTTTTATACTTTTGATTCCTGTACCTTTCTATACAGATGGAAGCACTCTGTATAGAGAACTCTCCCATCTGTATAGAAAGGTGCAGGAATCAAAGCTATCTTCAAATTTGCATCACCACCCACACAATGGGCAAGAAAAGAGGCAGAACAATTGGGTGTTGGCGGGAAGAACTGGAAACTCTCTTGGTTAGACTGTCTCAAAGATCCTTCCTCCCTGCCTCATTCCCTGAATGCGACACAGTCCTTGCATACATAAACTCGTCTCCCCTGTTGTTTTACTGTTATGTACAGAGAAGTTAGAGGTGAAGTGATGATGAAGACTCAACAGTCTAATTCATTAAGACTTTTATTACTACTACTACCATTAGGGAGATTGAGGGGAAAGTGAGTTTAAAGAGTAAACCACCGGAGAGATGACAGAGATGGAAAATATATACATAGCACACCCTAGGGCTGAGTTGGTATTCTTGTACTTTCCAGATTAAATAAGGTTCATTGTTCACTCCTCTTGTTCTGTCTCTACATCTATGACCCTTAACTTTACAGATAAAACAAAAATGATCTACACTGCTGCCACAACTGAAGAAAGAACTCCAGGAGCTCTGGGAAATGGCACCTACAAAGGGGAGGACTGCTCCCCTTGCACAGCCTAGCCCTTCCCCTGGTGGCCTGGATTCTGGTCCCAAAGCAATTCTGAAAGCCAGTCTGGTCAACTACAGAGAGCAGCAAAAACACCAGTCTTGCCTGAGTCTCTCTCCAGCATTTCCAGTACATCTATCAGAATCATCAAGCCTTGGCCGGGAACACAGACAGGGTGTCTGCCCAAGAAGCCTCAACTATCCCCAACTTAGAATTTGCTACTTATTTCAAAGACTTGTTCAGTGACTGGAAATTCTATGAAACCAGAAACCAAATCTGCCTCTTGCCAGGATCTCTGAAACAGTGCCTGATAATCATCTTAAGTTACTCAATTCCTGAACTAATCAATATATATGTTTAACCCATTACTCAAATACCCAAATCCCATTCCAAGTTTTGTGACCCAAAAGAGAAATAAATGCTCAAGAATGCTGTAGAATTAGACTTCAGAAGTTCTAATCTAAAAAATTCAGATCCCATTCCTTCCCTTTTGACATGATTGGGAATGACGCTCCCGAAAAGTCAAATTTGACATCAAGTATGCAAAAGTGAACACAGTAACATGCAATTAGGCAAAACAAACTCAAAAATAGCTAATGAAATGAAAAAACTGGGCAAATGCATCATGTTAGTAGAGGAGAAAAACCTTCGACAAGGAAAAACCAGGAAACACATACAGTAACACAATGTCACCTAAGAATCTCTTTTTTAAGTTCAGTAGATATTGGGTTTTAACACAAAGCACCCCCAAAACTGGGTACAGCAAACTAAAGGAGTGGTTTCCCAATTCAAAGAAAAATGTTCAAATACCTAGAATTCACAAATTTCAAATTGTCTCTAATAAAATTTAAACATTTTGCTTATCATATGCAAATAAAGATCAAGTAAATGATTAACAACGAATATTAACACTTACAAAAAGTCAATCATGCTTAGTTACCTGGGATTTTTATCATTTTGTATGGTCAGGTACAAATGAAACCAAGACAATATAGTTTTCAGGTGTCAGTTTGGCAAATGTGCAGGACTAACAAATACTCCCAACACCAAAACGAGAATCACAGATTTAACATCCTCTTAAAAAAGCAGTTTTTAAAAAGGCTGCTATCATTTTTACTAATTATATCCATATATACCTAACTGTTCAAATTGTTTTCTCTATTATCTAACCAACATCATCTGCTAGGAGACTTGGTTACATACAAGTTATATAAGAACACATTTGTTTAGCTTCTGAAGATAGGGTTGGCCTCAAACTGCCCTTAGAAAGGAATAAACATGGCCAGACGCAGTAGTTCACACCTGTAATCCCAGCATTCTGGGAGGCCGAGGTGGGCAGATCATGAGGTCAAGAGATGGAGACCATCCCGGCCAACATGGTGAAACCCCATCTCTACTAAAAACACAAAAATTAGCCAGGCATGGTGACACACGCCTGTAGTCCCAGCTACTCAGGAGGCTGAGGCAGAAGAATCGCTTGAACCCCAGAGACAGAGGTTGCAGTGAGCCGACAGAGCGCCACTGCGCTCCATCCAGCCTAGCGACAGAGCAAGATCCCGTCTCAAAAAAAAAGTAAGGAATAAAGATGAAAGAAACATAGAAAACAAAGGTTAAACCGTGCCCTACAAAGGCAGGTCCTAAACCTTTCCTTAGGATTACATCCACACTCCTCATATCTCAAGCCTGGTTTTGCGAGTCCCTTTTTGAGACATAATCGTTATCTCCCTGCCATTTTTTCAAAAGAAGGAATTTATTGTATTCCCTAACACAAGATTAAAAGTAGTTTAAGTCTTGACTGGGCACAGTGGCTCACTCCTGTAATCCCAACACTTGGGAGGCCAAGGTAGGCAGATAGATCATTTGAAGTCAGGAGTTCAAGACCAGCTTGGCCAACATGGTCAAACCTCGTCTCTACTAAAAATACAAAAATCAGCCAGACGTGGTGGTGGGCGCCTGTAATTCCAGCTACTGGGAGGCTGAGACATGAGAATCACTTGAGACTGGGAAGTGCAGGTTGCAGTGAGTCACCACTGCACTCTAGCCTGGGTGACCAAGCAAGACCCTGTCTCAAGAAAAAAAAAAAAAATTAAAAAAATAAAGACTGGCAGAGTGGCTCATGCCTGTAAACCTAGCACTTTGGGAGGCTGAGATGGGTTTATCACTTGAGGTCAGGAGTTTGAGATCAGCCTGGCCAACAGGACAAAACCCAGTCTCTAGTAAAAATACAAAAAAAAAAAAATAGCTGGGCATGGGGGTGGGCGCCTGTAATCCCAGCTACCCGGGAGGCTGAGGCAAGAGAATCGCTTGAACCCAGGAGGCAGAGGCTGCAGTGAGCCAAGACCGCCCAAACTGGGCAACAGAGTAAGACTCCATCTCAAAAAAAAAAGTTTGTCTGATTTAGAGGTAGACAGGAAAAACATCAACATACCACACTGCCCTGAGAAGCACGTTCTAAAAGCCCAAGGGGGAAAAGTTGCTTTTGATAGCAACTTCAGGCTGACCAAGTACTGCCTTCAGAGACACTGAGAAAATCTAGAATCCACCGTTTATTAAAATAAACCTGGTTCCCTCAACTAATTCAACAGGTATATACCAACTCCTAAACTCAGCCTCTTATTACAATTAGCAGCTTTAAACGTCCATAGCCTGTTCTAGACTTAGAAACAGCCAGGGAGTGACCTTTTAAAAATTAAGGATATCAAAAACCTTTCAATTCTCCCAAATGGAGATTCCCACTTCCCAATCCCCACGCTTTCGGGAAGCTAAAAGCTACGTTTTTCTAGTGCTTCTAATTCTGCCGTTTTCCAAATCCCTGGAAGGCTAGAGGCAAAAATCTTTGTCAACAGTGAGTGTAGCGTGGGGGTCTTGGAATCAGACTTCCTGGATTTTAATACCAATCCATCCCTTCTTTGAAGAATTCCTGAATTCCCACCAGTAAAACGGTATTAGATTCAGTCCACACAGAGATACGGCACTTAAAACAGTGCCTGGCTATTACCATCAGAAGCTACATAGATGTTATTCACTGTTTCCCAGTATTTATGTAGTCTAGCCCCCACAGAACTAAGAATATATCTAAGTGTCTTGAGATGCCTGTATTAATATAGCTCCTTTTCTATACATCTAAGGCAGGGCTTGAAAGCTCAAATATAGAAGTCTAAGGTTAATATGGATATAGGACCTTAGGCATTTTACACTATTGTTTTCCCTTAAACATGTACTATCCCATACATATCTCAAGACAAAAAGTACCATGTCAAAGTCCCTTAGGCATTCATGTTACCCGACCACCAAAACTGCATCACAACTGGACACAGCAGTTCACACCTATAATCCCAGCACTTTGAGAGGCCAAGTTAGATCACTTGAGTCCAGTTCAAGACCAGCCAGAGCAACATAGCAAGACCCTGTCTCTAGAAAAACATTAGCCACACGCAGTGGTGCACACCTGTAGCCCTTACTCAGGATGCAAAGGCAGGACGATTGCCTGAGCCCAGGACGTCAAGGCTGCAGTGGCCACTGATCACACCCCTACCTTCCTGCCTAGACAACAGAACAAGATCCTGCCTCAAAAAAACAAACACAAGGCTGGGCACAGTGGATCATGGCTGTAATTCCAGCACTTTGGGAGGCCAGGCAGGTGCATCACCTGAGGTAAGGAGTTCAAAACCAGCCCGGCCAACAGGGTGAAACCCCCATCTCTACTAAAAACACAAAATTAGCTGCGCATTGCGGCACATGTCTGTAATCTTTGCTACCTGGGAGCCTGAAGCAGGAGAATCACTTGAACCTGGGAGACAGAGGTTGCAGTGAGCTGAGATCACGCCATTGCACTCCAGCCTGGGCAGCAAGAGCAAAACTCCATCTCAAAAACAAAAAAACCCGTCATAACCCTTAAGGTAGTCAAGAAACACTGCTTCCCACACCATCCTCCTCTTGACTCTAAGTAACCTGATGCCAATAAAGTCAGGAGATAAAGGAAACATGGGGGGGTTGGGGGGGCCATGGACACAAAGAAAACTCAATTGTGATTTTAGCATTCGCTTACATCGTTGTATTTTGAATAGCCTGGAGACATCAAAAACACTTTTTAAAAAGAGACCATAAGGACTCCAGGATTCTGGATGTGTTTGGTGTTTTAAATGTACTGTATGATGATAAGGATGAGAAGTAAACAGCATAGGACTTCTTCAGACAAACAGACAAAAGGAGTTTTATAGTATTTTATTATCAATAACAAACAGCTGCTTTAATGTGTCTGTCCCGCAGCTGTTAAAGAGTGAAGGACACCCTTGACCCTAACAAGGAAAACAAATTAAGCCTTTATGTACAAGCAAATTTAGAGCTCTTTTAAGTGTCCAAAGCTATTAATTAGTTTAATTGAGGCATTAAACTAATTCTGAATTAACATATTTTAATAACCAGGAACTAAAATGTTCAAATTTTTTTCTAGTACAAAAAAATTAAATTTGCTTTAGTTATAAAAGAGCTCTGTCAATATACACAAACTATATACTTCAGACATTCACAAAAATGTGAGCAGAAGGCTTATCAAAAGACATTTAATACAATTAGTTTTCAACAACCCCTTGGTGGTCCACATCTACAAAGATATCCAGCCCAACCCAACCCCCCTTCCAAATCCCACCCCCACAGAAAAGCACATACTTACCAGAATTTTTAGCAAGTATGGTTTGGGAATTTTTGTAGTTTTTGTTTTTTAAAAAAAGGCCCCCAGGGCAAGTTATTTACAGTTTAATTGCCACTGTCAACTGATCTGGACCTTGATCGGGACCGGGACCGCTGACGATCCACAGATGCTGGAGACTTAGATCTACTTGAAGAACCACGTTTCTGGCTCTTCTCAGGCATGGGAGACCTACTAACAGAACGGGACTTGCTCCGGCTCCGGCTCCTGCTCCTGCTTCTTGACCGGCTGTAAGATTTGCGACTACGGGAACGGGATCGGCTACGAGACCTAGAGGAACTTCTGGTCCGGGATCGAGACCTGCTTCTTGACCTACTATGAAAAATGAGAAGAAATCAGCCTAGGTAAGACTCTACAGCAAACCCATTAAATATAACTTTTGACTTAAAAATTAGAAATACCTGTGCCTTTTGCTGCCTTCAATTAATTTTATTTTTCTCCCATTTATTTCCTTTCCAGAAAGTTTTTCAATAGCATTCTTTAAGTCACCATAAGAGGCAAACTCAACCACCCTAAAATGGAAAAAAAGCCACTTTTAAAGTCTACACATCCTGTAGTCGCACACATTGCACATAGCAGTCTAGGTTAAGTCGTTTCTATGTTCACTTTTGCTATCACTACTGAGTCTCATTTCTGCATAATGCAGTATTAAAAGAGCAAAGTTTTGGCACTGTTATACTTTGAGCCAATTAATTGTTGGGGAGGGTTCCCTATGCATTGTGGGATGCTTAGCGGGATGCCTAGCCCCTAGCGACTAGATGCCAACAGCATCCTCCCTCAACCAGTTGTGAGAATCATACATGTCTCCAGACACTGCCAAAGGTGTGGGGGGGGAGAGGGGAGGCGGCAAAATTGTCCCTGGAGAATCTCTACATTATAACATATTCAAATTTTAAGTGCTCAACACTAAGTTCACAGTAAAATTTTCAGGATATTTTTAAAGACTTTCACAATTTCCAGTACATACCCTTCATTTAATTTAGGTCGGTGTGCATCCGCAAACGTTACTTCCCCAGCTTGTCTCATGAAATCTTTGAGATCCTTAACACAAGATAATTGTGTTAAGCAAAGAAAAGGAAAGGGGACACACAAACAATCACATGATATAAAAAAAACAAGACTACTGAAAGAGAAGATGTTAGATAAAGTACAAACATGGCATTTACCACACTTGTATTCTATCAGAATTCAAAAATTATCTATGTCAGGGCACGGAATAAGGAAATAGCATATTGCTTTTAAGCAAAATGCTAAAGGAAATTCAGATTTTAACATTAAGGTAGTATTAGTCTATGCTGAGCTCAGTACAAAAGAAAAAAAACAAACAAAAAAAACAAAAAAGGAAACAGTACATATTTTTAAAGACTAAAGTAGAGAAGTTTTATTAAAAAAAAAAAAAAAAAAACAGAACATTTACAAGACACCAGTTATTTTGTGCCCCATATGTCATTAAAAAAGTTTACTTTACCTTTATTATTATTTCCCTAGGCTAGTCAAGCAGCAAACCATTAATCGGTCGGAGAAACCTTCATGACATATGCCCGACTGGCTCTTCGCCACCCACTTGAAGGACACTACCCAATCGATGGAAGCCTTTAATCGCACAGCCCTCCCTATTAGCAGACTATTGGCGGATGCAGACATGTTCTACTCGAGCAGTTACCAAGGACCACTTTACTGCGATCAGGATTCCAACGACCACCTAATTTCGTATCTTTCAACTCTTTTCGACCGGACCTCTTATTCGGAAGCGTTACAGGAAGACAGGTCTCAACTTAGGGATCAGATCACGTTATCAACGCTCTGGGATCGCTGCAACCTGGCACTTCAAGGAAGTGCACCGATAACGTCTAGACCGGCAAACACAGATCTAGAGGTGGCCAACTGATCACTGTAGGAGCTGACTGGCAAAGTCAACCAGGCCCAACCAAGAGTGACCAAGACAACGATTAGGATAACCCACAGGCACTCCTCGTCATAAGGCCAACGACACAGACAGGCTGGCAAATAAAGGGTTTAATATTTGGTTAAAAATTGATTTTAAAAAACAAGAAAAATATCCTCAAAACATTTACATTTGATCACTAATATTAAAGTTCAAAACATCCCCCAAATTACATTTAATTAAATGTTTAAAATTACAATTCCATTAAATCCATTAATTTAAGATAAAACTACTTTTAATAAAACAAAACATTAGCTACCCATTAACTTTTTTTAAAAAACCACATTAAAATAACTCAAAACTGTATTTCAACAAACCTGCCAGCTGACTCTTGAGGATAAATTCTCAACTATAAGCCGATTTTCTGTTCTTACAGGTGGAGCATTTCTGAGGAAGAAAATTCGTATTCACAATGGAAGAAATGCAATGACAGCACTTGTGTTCAACTGTGGGCAAGTTCAAGCCATCAGATATGACAAGCCATCCTAATGACTTCCGTCAACAGATTCTGTGTTCTACGACTCGTATAGATTCATCAAGAACAATGGGCTTACGTGGGAATAGAAAAACACATTATATGGCAGGACCCCGAATCATCACTGCTAATGTCTCCTGAACCTTAAATGCTACCCTACAATAATTGTTCAATGCAGCCGTCCCCCCTTCACATACCGTCTATCATTTCGAGGTCTGCGACTACTAAAACGGTCAGAGTATCGTCCTCTACCTCTTCCACCTCGTGACCGAGCCCTAGCATGTTCAATAGTAACCCTACAAAAGAGGAAGAAAAATCTCCGTTACACACTTAAGTTATATAGATCTACTTAGAAAAATATGCCAGCAGACCCAGTCTGCTCTATGTCCCAAGGCTAACTAGTTACACAGGAGTCTCACCTTTCACTACAGAGTTCTTTTCCATCAAGCTCATACACAGCATCATCTGCATCCCTCGGATCCTCAAATTCCTAAAATGTAAGTATAAACATGGGCTTTAGAAGAGTATTCTACAACATAATGAGCATTGAAATCAGGAGACAGAATAGGAAAAGAGGTATCTTAACAACACTGCCACATAGTCAAACCTAATCAAGGAGCCACTAGGAGTGGGTTCCAGTGAGCCGGCAAGTTAAAGTTGTTTTCAGCCTCAATAAAACTCACACACAAGGCTGGGTAACATTTTCTGAACGCAAATATTCTACCTGGACTCAAGATCGAAAACTGCTTATCAAAACTCTACCTACTTAGCAGATAATTCACCCAGTTCTAAATACTTACCACAAAACCAAAGCCTCTTTTCAGATCAATATCTCTTATCCGTCCATATCCCTTGAAGAATCTTTCCACGTCCTTCTCCCTGGCCGCTGGATTTAGTCTCCCGATGAATACTCGACAGCCACTCATGATGTCCGGCTAGTACTTCCTATTAGAAAGTAATTCAATCGAGATAACAGCAATGACTGTGACAGAGAAACGCCTGATCAAAGAATCAAAAACATAAACAGCGTAAAATGTTTACCCAGTGATGTTATAAACGGGATTGCCAAGAGTGCCTCTAATGAAGCCAGGTTAACTTGCAGACAAAATTAAAACCCAGCTCCCTCCCAACACGGTCCGTTACTGGGCCCAGACCGCAGCAACCGCAACGCCCACTGCCACTTCTCCAACTGCGCAGCCGCACACTCTCCACGGCTCTCCGGCCCCCTCCCATCTGCCGCAGTTAGGAAAGGCCGAGAAGTGCGGGCGGAGCCGCCCCCGCCCTCCGCAAAGCCAGCCCAATGGCGGCCTCGCGGGCGCGTCACAGCGGGTGGAAGCCGGATTCTCGCGACGCCACGACCGCGCCTGCGCCAACGGGGCGGGCGCTCTGCGGCCACAAAATGGCGGCGGTGGAATCAACAGCAGCAGAGCCGCGCGTGCCAAATTCTCTTTTCCCTCCTCCTCCCAACTCCACCGTTCTTGGGGTCACTGCGGCCGCCCTCCAAAAGGCCCAGCCGCATCGCCAGCAAAGTCAGGGAGATCCCGGCCCACTACTCTACGTGTCCGGGAGATGAAGACGTTAAGACCGGCAGGGAGGGGCGCACAACCGCTGTGTAAAAACGACCCTAACAGTGACCGCCCTTCCACCTCAGTCCCCCTCAAACAGTATGCCAAAAGGGAGACGTGCCCCAGCGCCCACCTCGAATCAACTGCGCTCATTAGACGCCGTCCTCCGCAAAGAGAGCAGCCCCAGCCGCTCACGAATTGAGCGGCCATGAAGAAGCCTCGATCCGAGAAGGCTTGCCCTCAAAGTGAGCCACTCACCTACCGGACGGGGTCTTTAGCGGCTGAGACCCAGACAGGTCCGTAGTCTGCGACGGAGTCGTCGGCCTCCACGCAGACCAGGACTTAACTCGTCTACGCCTCTCCACAACTGACGCACTTAGCAGCTCTGGCACTCCACAAAATGGAGGCCGCATCTCTGCGTCACTTCCGGGGACGCCCCTGGGCCTTGGGTCCACCCTGTTGGACCCAGGGAAGACGGAAGTTTTGGGAGGGCCGGAAATTTCGGGGAACGTGCGTCTCCTTTGACACTGTGAGTGACCGACCCTCCGCCCGCGGTGGGTGGGGCCGGAGGCGGGAACTCGCTTGGGCATTGCCGGCAGGTGCCGGAGTCTGGAGGGACATCGGTTGAAGTTGTTCGCCCCTTCTAAGTCCTTGGCGTTCGGTTCATCATCATCTCTCCCAGAAGAGTCTCCTGAGACAAGTATCAACCCTTCTTGTATCTAAAGTTTTTCTTAGACACACACAAGATTACTAATTAGAAGAAACTTAGCTTTGCAGAAATACCTGGCCTTTGCTTATCTCTCGCCCTCAAAGCAGAGAGCTCCTAGATGTTCGAGTTCTTTTTTCAGCCATGCCACAGCTGTATGGTTTTGTTGTAGTGAGAAGACTAAGGAACTGAAGTATTTTTTTAAATGAAGGGGTTTTGACTGATGAAATGTTGAAAATGGTACTGCAACTAGAAGGCTGTCTTGAATTGAGGCTGGAATACAGATTTCTGCATTTCCATCACTCTGGGAGAGTGGTTGGAAAAGGTTTCAAGCTGCTTTTTTTTTTTTTTTGAGACGGAGTCTCGCTCAGTCGCCCAGGCTGGAGTGCAGTGGCGCCATCTCGGCTCACTGCAAGCTCCGACTCCGGGTTCACACCATTCTCCTACCTCAGCCTCCCGAGTAGCTGGGACCACGCCGGCTAATTTTTTTTGTATTTTTAGTAGAGATGGGGTTTCACCGTGTTAGCCAGGATGGTCTCGATCTCCTGACCTCGCGATCCGCCCGCCTCGGCCTCCCAAAGTGCTGGGATTACAGGCGTGAGCCACCGCGCCCGGCCTCAAGCTGCTTTTAAGTCGAAATGGTATTTGGTTAATCCTTCCCGTTGAGATTTCTGTAATGTAACACATGAAAGTTTGCAATTCTTTTTTTTTTTTTTTTTTTTTTTTTTTTTTGAGATGGAGTCTCGCTCTGTCGCCCGGGCTGGAGTGCGGTGGCCGGATCTCAGCTCACTGCAAGCTCCGCTTCCCGGGTTTACGCCATTCTCCTGCCTCAGCCTCCCGAGTAGCTGGGAGTACAGGCGCCCGCCACCTCGCCCGGCTAGTTTTTTGTATTTTTTAGTGGAGACGGGGTTTCACCCTGTTAGCCAGGATGGTCTCGATCTCCTGACCTCGTGATCCGCCCGTCTCGGCCTCCCAAAGTGCTGGGATTACAGGCTTGAGCCACGGCGCCCGGCCGAAAGTTTGCAATTCTTTAGAAACAGAGAATGCCCTGCTTTCAAAGTGGGTGTGAAACACAGCCCTCCATATTAACTCCCCCGAGGTCCCGATAAGGTTGGTAGACCTAGAGACTTAGGTATAAAGAGATTGGTTAACTTTGCTTTAATGCTTTTATGTAGAACCCAGTGCACCCCATTTTTGAGAAGTGCCTGGAATGTGGAGTTGCATGCTTGCAACTAGAGTTAAACAGAAAAAGTAGTTCAGGAAGAAGGAGACAACTGACACTTAACTCTGACCTCAGGGGCCCTTAGGCACTCAGAACTGAAACTTGGATAGTCTGTATCGGTAAGTTTGTCCATTCATAGTTATATGTGCAAATAAAAAGAGTCTCGGTGGGTACATGACAAAATTGTAAAGTTAGTTACCTATGATGTGGGAGTTAAGGATGGGTTTATAACACAATATGTATTTAATGTATTTGTTCAATTAAAAGAAAAAAATGTTATCTAGTTGTTGGCCTGATGAACATTGGCATTTTATAATGCACAAATTGTCCCAGACCAGTTTGTATTTAATTACATTTGTTTGGTTTCTGCATAATAAACAAGTCTTCCCGATTACTTTCTACATTTTATGTTTACTATGAAAGCAACTCTTTTTATTTCACTCACTACCACTTTTTTTGTTTTGTTTTTAAGGCTAGTAAAGCAGTGGGACTGGAGAAGGAACTAACAACTACATTTTATTTTGGCTGCAATAAGAAAAAGTAATCTGGAAAAGGTTTTCTGGGGGTGAAAAGTAAAAAAGATGGTGCTGTACACCATGAAGAAGTTGCTATTTTCAGCTCATGTTGATTTTCTTCAGGACCAATTTTTTAATGAAAACTTTTCTCTGATTTATTTATTATTTAAAAGTTTATGAGTTCCACAAAAGTAATTTTTCTTTAGTAGTGCCTAGAGACAATATTTTAAAACATTTGTCTTCTGCAATGTTGGCTTTTGCCATGACAACCATCTAATCTCAAGTCTCCCTATTTGTATTAGTCCGTTCCCACACTGCTATAAAAAAACTATCTGAAACTCGGTAATTTATGAAGAAAGGAGGTTTAATTGACTCACAGTTCCATAGGCTATACAGTAAGCATCACTGGGAGGCCTGAGGAAACTGAACAATCATGGCAGAAGGCAAATGGGAAGCAAGCACCCTCTTCATGCACGTGATGGCAGGAGAGAGAGAGAAAGCAAGGCGGTGAAGAGGGCCTCACTCACACACTTTTTTTTTTTTTTTTGAGACGAAGTCTTGCTCTGTTGTCCAGGCCGGAGTGCATGGCGCGATCTTGGCTCACTGCAAGCTCCGCCTCCCAGGTTCACATCATTCTCCTGCCTCAGCCTCCCCAGTAGCTGGGACCACAGGCGCCCACCACCACGCCTGGCTAATTTTTTGTATTTTTAGTGGAGACGGGGTTTCACCGTGTTAGCCAAAATGGTCTCGATCTCCTGACCTCATGATCCACCCGTCTCAGCTTCCCAAAGTGCTGGGATTACAGGCGTGAGCCACTGTACCCAGCCGTGCCTCACACTTTCAAAAACCATCAGATCTTGTGAGAACTCACTATCACAAGAACCGAATGGGGGAAATCTGCCCCATGAGCCAATCCCTTCCCACCAAGTTCCTCCCCGAACACTGGGTATTACAACTCAACATGAGATTTGGGTGGAGACACAGAGCCAAACCATATCACTATTGGACTGTTTCTTACCAATTTCTCTAATAAATACAAAGTCATCTTCTATGATCAGAATTATTCTTCCCCTATGTGATCTTACAATATTCTGGATTTTTTTGTTTTGTTTTTTTTGTTTTTTGAGACAGAGTCTCGCTCTGTCACCCAGGCTAGAATGTAGTCGCACGATCTCTGCTCACTGCAAGCTCCGCCTCCCGGGTTCTTGCCATTCTCCTGCCTCAGCCTCCCCAGCAGCTGGGACTACAGGCACACACCGCCACACCCGACTAATTTTTGTGTTTTTAGTAGAGATGGGGTTTCACGATGTTAGCCAGGATGGTCTCAATCTCCTAACCTTGTGATCCGCCTGCCTCAGCCTCCCAGAGTGCTGGGATTACAGATGTGAGCCACCACGCCCAGCCTACAATACTCTGTTTATACCCCTGTTATACAGTCATCACTGATTCATGTATGTTATTCATGTTTTCTAGAAATGCATAGCACCAAAAAGACTCAATATTTATAGACCTGGATTTGCATGAGCATTTTTTTCAGGTCATCCTATTCCTATATGAATGTTTCAACAAAATGGCTTGGCATCCTTTTCCTAAGACATCCAAATTAGAAGCAACCCTTTTTTTTTTTTTTTTTTTTTTTGAGATGGAGTCTCTCTCTGTCGCCCAGGCTGGAGTGCAGTGGTGTGATCTTGGCTCTCTGCAACCTCCGCCTCCCGTCTCAGCCCCCCGAGTAGCTAGGACTACAGGCACACGCCACCATGCCTGGCTAATTTTTTGTATGTTAGTGGAGACAGGGTTTCACCGTGTTGTCC